CTATAATTTTATTTTTATTTAGAATTAATATTTTATATAATAAATATAATAAGTTTCACTAAATAAACTGTTGACAATTTTTACAGTAAGATTTTTAAAGTTAAATATCATTATTTATCAAAAAAATAATTAAATGAATGATTATGATTAGAGGTATTATTTATTAAAAAAATATATAAAATGACATCTTAGACAGTTTATAATAAGATATTTTTAAGAAAAAATATATATATTATATATGTGAAATCTATCACAGATATTGTAGTCTTGTAATTATCACATTAATACTAATAATTATTTAATGATATAAAATTTAAATCATTAAATTATTATGTAAAAAACTTTAATAAACTTTTATTTTTTCACGTTAACTTTTTGTTCACCTTTCTCTTGCAAAAACCTTTTTCTTTCTTTTACATTTATGTTAATTTTTCTTTTAAATTATAACTAATGGAATCCTTTTTTGAAAGTTCTGATACTAATATGATTAAACTTTTATTATAAATACGTTCTTTTAATAATGATATATTAAATTATCCTTCATCTCCTTTATTATCATTAAATTTTCAAGTGGATGATACATAATTCTATAATTAAGAGACTCATTTATGTAAGTTTCTTAAGATTTCAATAATTGCTTTTAATATTCTAAAGTTTTTACAAGGATATAAATTTTGGTTTTTGTATACTATACAATTTATATTGAAGATGCTAATTCGATTCAATATGATGAAGCTATTTCACACCTTCTGTCATATTCTAATTTAACTGAAGGAATGAATTTTTCAAATTTCAAAATAGCTATTCATTATTGTATTGAATTTGGATGCTTTAATGGATTTGTTGTTAGAAAAAAAGAGTTAAAAAGAATAGTAATAGCAGTATTAGATTGAGATGTATTGATTGTAAATATTCAGATAAAATTAAGGATAATGGTAGAATTATGATTAGAAATAAAGGATCAAAAAAAAATAGAATGTTCTTAGTATATTAACCTTTTTCAACCTTTAAATGTTAATTATGTAAGAATATTAAAGTTTATTAATATATATAATCATGAACTTTTATTTGATAATTTCTTATTTGCTTCTCAATTTCATGATTTTTCAGAAGAAATTAAATTTGATATAGAACATTATGTTAAATATGATATTATAGATTTACTAACTATTAAATTATTATTGAAACTAAAATTTCCAAATCAATTATGCTTTTGTAAGATTTATTAAACTATATTCAAAAAATCAAAAGAGAATTTAAAAATTCAAAAAGTGATAGTGTTACACTTTTAAATGAGTTATTATAATACAATAAGAAGATCCTTCATTTATGGTAATACCCTTAATTGATTCTTTAACATTTCATTTAAATGGAATTTTTTGGATAACGCCTAATTAACAAATACTATACAACTGATATAATGATATTATTTTATATGATAATATAGTATTTATAAATCATTACAAGTGGTTATTATCTTTATTCATTATTATTGATTGTGATAATAAAATAAGATTGCTTGCTCAAGCATTTGTATAAAATGAAACTTTAGAGATATATCTTTTGATTTTACAGTATTTAAAAAGAACTTCTATTAAATTTAATGTAATAATTACTGATACAGATTTAGCAATAATTAGTGCAATATAACAAGAATTACCTAATATTCATCATGTGCATTATATATTTCATATTCATTAAAATTTATCTCATAAACTGAAAGGTATATTAGAAAAGGATTATTTGAAATTTATTAGTGAATTTTATAAGTCACAAAATTCTTTATCTAAAGAAAACTTTGAAGTAATTAGAATCATTTAAAAAATACTTACCATCAGGCTAAAAATTATCTTCAAAATACTTTTTATAAAAGTAAAGAATCTTGAGCTTCTTATTATACATTAAGGTTATTTATCATAGATATATAATCTACTCAGTATATAAAAGATCTTAATAGAACAATGCATAGAGAAATAGATGTTAGTATACCTCTAACAATTACATTTTATAAAATACTTGATAAACTTGAGACTGAAAATATGAATAAAAGATAATTAAAATGTATAGATTCATTTAATATATATACTATTATAATCTAATATTATTTATTTAGATTCTTAATATTTAAATATTCAAAAACATATTATCTTCAACCTTTAATAATTACAAATGTATTTTATGAAGTTAATTTATAATTAAACGAATAGTTATTACCTTTCTTATATGCAGAACATTAATTATAAATATGCAAAGCTTTAGTTTATCATGCAAAGCTAGTTAAAAATAATGAAATTTCAAAATAAGTTATCATATTACTAAGAATTTACTTTAAAGAATCAAATTAATCCAGAATTAATCAATGAGAAAGATAATTCAACAATTGCTATATTTATAGAAAATCAGTATGAAAATAAAAAAATTTTTCTTAAAAATCTCTTACAAAAATTCAATGTTGATAACATTTGTAAAATTTAGCAAGTCAAATCATTATTAGTTCAATTACCAAATTCTTGTCAATATGTAATAATCTTAAAAAATGGTTGGCATGGATATATCTGTCTATTATTAATTAATAATGGAATAATTTGCTACCATTATTTTAAAGTGATGATAGAATTTAATTTCGCAAAATTTCAAATTAGTATGATTCCAAAAAAATGGTATAAAGAACGCTTAAAATCAGATTTGATAAAAATTAATAATTTATAAGTTATTATGCTTGATAGCAATAATATTAATAATGTTAGTAATTCTGAAAGAAATCAGCTAATTGATATTGATTTTATATAAACAAATGCTATTTTTAATCAACATATTCAACCTTTAGCTATTCAAAAACAAGTTCTTAAAAAAAGAATATGCTATTTTAACAGGATTTTCTAGAAAAGCTTCTTAGTTGGCAATAGAGGATTGTGATGGTGAATTAAAGGATTTTTTAAATGGATATATTAAAAAGAGATAAGAATTCGTGAGGAGTAAGAATCTAATAGGAGATTAAGAGTAATAAATAATGTAATAAATAAGGATGTAAGAAGCATGGAAATTAATGATAAGATTATTTTTGAATCTAATGAGAGAATATATATTACAGATGAAATTAATGATCCATTAGAACATATTACAAAAAGTCATCCAGCTAATAAAAGATTAAAATCTAGCATAGAAATTTCTAATAAAAAAGTAACAATAATCTAGACAAGGAAAATGCTAATAGAAAGGAATATGTATGTAGTAAATGCAAAGAAATAGGACATAATTCAAGAACATATAAGAAATAAAGACATATACAATAATAAAAATGATGATGTTAATGCTAAAAATATTTATAACTCAAATTATTACTGTAATTTGAGCTTGGCTCCCTATAGTCGCCATATACTTAATGATATTCATTATTCAATATAAAAAAGTGCATATATTATTTAATGAATATCTTTGTTAGTTATAATTTTATGTGATACAATTATTTATCAGTAATTATCACATATTTTATCGTGTGATATAAACGGGAGAAGTGAAGTAACGGGGGTGACGAATAAATTTTTCCTTTTTTTAATATAGAAAATCTGTACATTCAGAGATATTATTTATTCAATAAATAAATAAATAAAAAATGACGTCTCGGATGGTTGAAGGCATAATTTATTATTTATTAAAAAAAAAAAATTAAATAAAATAAAATGACCGTTAAAAAATCCGCAATAAAAATTTTAAACGCCCTATATGGGAGGTTTGTTAGGAATATGGGGCTCTGGGAATTTTTTAACAAAATTTTATTTTTTTATTGCATTTTAGTTTTTGATGTTATTAGATTAAAATGTAATAAGGTCACCCTTATTTTTTTTTTTAAAAAAAATTTTTCTGATAACCAATCTATTTGTATTTATACATCTTTGAAATTATAAGTATTTAAATGAAATACAATTTAAATACTGAATATAAAGAGACACATTTTTGGCATTAAAAAAAAGGGCGACTAGCTTTCGTGATTATGAAAATGTTTGCACTTCCAAATGCAGATTCTTTAAATAATAGTTATTGGGTAGGGGAGGATATCACATCACCTGAGATGCTTCGCATCTAAGTGATATAATATCTCCCCCTACCCAATAACTATAATGTATGAGTTATTTCTGTATACAGCTGTCCTATTGAGTTATCCCATGCTAAGGACGAAAAACTATTCTTATTTTGCAGGATCTTTGGAAATCTTCAATATTTGTAAATGATGAGAAAGTTGAAATAAATATTTTGAGAACGAAGTAAGCTTTTCCAACTAACGGAGAGATTTTAACTCCTTGGTGTTTATTTCATTGTAAGGTGAATAAATAGTAATATGCGGGATGTGCGGCCTCCAAGCTGTGTATGGTAATGCTGACAGTCTCTTAACTAGGGTAGTGCAGGTTCGTATCATACTTGTAAAAACTGAGAAACAACCGACTCCTCTCCCTTAGCGAATACTAAATTTAGTAAAAAAACAAAAACCTATTGTTTTACTTTCCAGTTTAGGACGAATGGTTCCATCACGACGGTTATGCTATCTGGAATTCATTGCGACCCCTATAACCAATTATATAACCAATTGACCACGAATCAGAAATTTGTAGTTATGTTTTGTTCGAAAAAAATTTTTTATTTAATGTATCAACTTTCAAATTCGGTTCCAATTTTTAATTTGAATAATAAAATACAACTTAATCTTCATTATTTGATGAAAATTTTCTATTTGGTTTAACTTTTGTTCAGTAATTGACATTTACTGTATATCATTTAACTCTTGAGGTCAAACAAATAAAAATAAAAAAAGAAATTAAAAAAATGTATAAAAACTATTATATTCATCAATCATTCAATCAGAATTTTTTCTTTAGCATAGGTCGTCGTTATTGAAAAAGGGGTTACGATAATTGTCTGAATTTAGTACACTTTTAACACGTAAATAAACTAGGGTCTGGAGCATAAGTGTAACGAAAGGGACCAATCATGCATCGTCTCATGATTCAAGCGTGCGGACAGATGGACATTAGGCCTGTTCTGAGTGATCGTTCGGGTTTTTGATCGACCAATCAAAACATGTGATCAAAATCAGAATTGAGTTGGGGATTTCTGATCGCAAAAATTTCAACAAAAACCAATCAACCATTCGTTTTTGTTATGTGATCAAAAAAATCAAAAATCTGAACCATCAGAAATGAACAGGCTTATTGTTTAGGCAACGCTATGGAGATGTAATTGTTTTATGTAATACGAACCCTGCAACGGGCTGGGTCCGGGTTCATTCGGTTCCTCTTCAGTTCTAGACTCATTAAATAAATTAAACAGTAAAAGCGTAAAGTTAAATTTATACTAATAAAGCATCATGTGATGATCAATCAAACAAATTCGGCCTATATTTTTTAATTTGATGACAATCCGATTTTGAGTCGAAGTATCAACAACGGATAGTATTTTAGATCTTAGTGGATTGCATTTCAATAATTTTTTTTTGGATTTATTTTCAATAAAAATTTGATATTTGTAAAATACAAAAAATATTATTGAACATTAATTTCGCATCGTCAAATAGCATAACGATAAGTTAATATTATTAAGAACAATATGACCATGCGTTTTTATTACTATTATGTGTGCGTGTGCGTCTGTAAATAAAATTACGGTGTATGTATTATCCCCCGGCTAATTAGGAATAAGTAAAATTTTACTGCCCCGACCGGCTGATTCCAAGTAAAATTTTACAATTCCAATTAGCCGGGGGATAACCTGCCATTTACATAGTTAGTATTATCGAAATAAAGTAAGAAATCAATCTTATGAATTAAGAAACCTTCGACCTTTCCCTTTCTTGTTGGTAGCCAGCTATTCTTAATTACATACTATATATTTTCAAAGGAATCATATGAACTCCCTTTTATAAAGAAAAAATATGTTACAACAGCAAGTCTTCAGATACTAAATTATATTTTTATTTGAAGCTATGTTACTCGGCACTTCGTGCCGAGTAACTGTTGTATTTGCAATAAGAATATGGGTGAGTTACGAACATAGTAAATCATATGATCCGTAACGTGATTTTAATAGCTTACCTCCCATATGATCAGTGGAATTTTGCTGAGCGGAGCTCATCAAATTCCACCAATCATATTGCTTATTGCGGAATACATGACAGTGTCGCAGTTACGAGGTCACGTGGTGCCGAGTAACTGTTTTATCGGTTTACACAAATTAGTTTAATTTAAACTTTTATTAGACTTTTTTTTTTTTTTTTAGCTTTATTAAACCCTTTTTCCCATAAAAACAAATTATGTTTCTTTTCTTCTTTACGCTTCCCCAAAAAAAATTTTTTTTCCTTTTGATAATATAAAATGACACAAAATATTTCATCCAAAGGTAATTAATTACCTTCCTATCAGCACTTGAAAGGTAGAGTTCCTCCAAACACAATTGTCTGTGTCACATGTACCCGATGAAGATCATACTATCATGAGACAAAGAAAAGATTCACAAACACAAGAAAGTGGCGATAGTTAAGAAATATTATAAAAATTTCAATAAATAAATTAGTAATTAGTTATTAAACAATATTTAAATAATGTTACCTTATAGTAATTTACAATTTGACATAATAACAAAATAAATGATTAGTAACTATTGTACTAGCAAAAATCATCAAATAGTAAATTACCGATAAATTATGCTTACATGTCAATCCGGAATGAATTTTTAATTGAAGAGTTGCAAATCATCCTTATGATGAGATGACTAAGCAAAAATTAAATGAGATTCTCTCCAGGAGTCGGCTCAAAATTGGATATCATCAAATTAAAGATGATAATAGGCCGAATTTGTTTGATTAACCGGTCTCAAAATTTTTTTTTTAAAAAGAGTCAAAGTAGAACCGAAGAGGAACCGAAATGGAACCAATAGAACCGTCCCCATTCCTATTGATATATCATGTTAATTGCGTCATGTTGATATTTTCACAACTCCGATAGTGAATCTGGTAAAATATCACGGGCGAACAATTATTAAGCGGGTAATATGTGAAAAAATCACACGCTCCTGGGTATAACTTGGGGGATCGGAATACCGTAGTTTTTTTCCCTACGGGAAAAAAAACTGCGATATTCCCTAACTCCCCATGAAATTACTTATATTTATTTAATCTTACAATTATAAATTTGGAAATTGCGAAAACCTTTGGCATATCTTCGGCATATATGCAAATGAAAATATTGATAATGGTTATAAAAATTTTTAATCAAAAGTTTAAGATAATTTACTAGGAGCGCATAAATAAATATGAATAAAGTTTTCGTTACCAAAGATTAAATGCAATTCAGGAGATTTTAAAAATTCAACGAGCGAATATAGTGAATGAATCGCATAGCTATAGACGATATTAACTCTGGTTGTATCACTATATTTTAAATTACGAAAGGATAAAGTGAGTTTTTAGTATATTGAAAAAAACTTTGGAAGTAAAGATATTTTTAGTTTGAAAACTATCATACCATGAACTAAAGGCCAAAATTTTGAAGCAGGCCTCTACCATGAACTTTAGAAGATATTATCTAAATTGTAATAACAAGTACCTGAGAATAAAAAGTCCTTGGATATGGAAATGCCAAGGTGGTAAAATTCCATGAACTTTTTTTTTTTAAATGTTGAGGAATGTTCAGTCGGGTGAAAATGGATTAATGGTTTCGTGCAAAATTTATCTAAAATTCATCTGTCCGACGAGATATAACACACGGATCAGTCATAGAATATTCTGTATCTACGACGCCATGTAGCTTAAACTATATGTATAGTGAATTGTTGACAGTCATAGTTCGTACCTTCAACATCATGTATAACTAAGTTATTAGTAAAGCTTTTTGCAAGTACACATTCAGCGCTTTCATATGACATCAAACGGTTGCAAAATATTCCAGGGATCATGCACGTGTAATTTAATAAAAAAAGATGTAGAAAAAAATTTTTTTCTTTATTATTATTATTTTATTTTCTTGACTCGAGAAATACAATGTCAAAGTGCTTTTACCAACCTGTTATGTCAATTTAATTTGATATAAATCTCTGTGATTTTGATTTAAAGTCACATGATTAAATTTTTTGATTTTGTGAAACTATTAAAATTCAAAAATTTTGAAAAGTCGTTTTGAAACGACGCGATTAACAAGGATAATGAATTTCTCTTTGGTTTCGATAATCTGTGACAATTATTCATTAAAACTATTGGTCGATTTTCTAAAGTTCATTAATCTAAAATACATCAGAAACAGTGATCAATTATTTTAAATGTTACATTGAAAGACACCAACAAAGTTACATACAGTATTTATTGGGAGGGTTAAAATAAATAAGTTTCAAGAAATTTCGATATTTCCATCCACAAAATTGCAAAGATTAAACAGGTAATTGATTTTGCTACTACGTAGATTTTGTTTTGATTTTTTTTTATTAAGATAATTATATAGTATATACATCCAAATATTTTGACCACATGAATCGGAATCGGAAACTTTTCGGGTAACTCTGAAGTTTATAGGACGAATGGTTCATACAATTAAAAAATATTATAGATTATCACCTGATTTTTTTTTTTTTATCGAAAAATAATATCAGTCGAAATGGATAGATCTGATTGGTCATGAGCAGCACAATAACTATTTGGTTTATAAAACGGGTACACGTTTCAAATTCATTCTCATTGGCCGAAAATTAATTTTATCAATTGGTGGTGTCACCAATTAAATGCGTAATATAAATAAGCCTTTGCCTAAAAAAACATATACAATATATACATGTTGAAGCGCCGACTCTGATCAAAAAATAATTTTTCAAAAACTATTATTTTTAACAATTTTGATTTTGTTGTGATGATCAATTCATAGCAAAAAAATAAACGGTTATAAATAGCACGCGGTACATCTGTAATTTTTTTTTTTGATCTTAAATAAATCAAATAATAAATAATGATGTGTACAAACCACCAAATAATTTTTGCTAACCAATCAAAAATTTAAAAGATTTATAAGGGTAATTAATTCTTGTTATGTATTGAATGTTGCCATAAAACAAGTTTTGCTGCACGCCAATCGTATCGTTTTCAGCGCGATTCCTTCTAAAGATACGAACGGTAAGATATCGACTAAAATTGGCATTTGTCATTTGAATATTTTTAGTTTTTTAGAATCATTATTTTTGGCACCTAGAATGCTTTCATTGTCAAACCTTAGAATTGTACTCGAAAAAAAGAAAAAAAAAATTTTTTTACTTGTCAACAAATACTTTTTGGCACTCATCCATGTTATAAAAAAGACACATCGATTGGCGGTGTAGCTAAAACCGGTCTATAATACAGTATATTATTATTCCTCGTTACAATTTAGTATAACGGAATGTCTAAAATATTTAATTAATGAAAACGAATGTAAGTAAATTGAATTTTATTTTATTTTTTTTTATTTTTCTCTTTATTAGATTTGGCTTATATTTTCACTTTTTTTTTTTTTTTTTTTTTTTTTGTATTATTGTTGTTAGTTGAAAATACTTTCGATAGCAGTGCAGCAGTGCCAGAGAATTTATTGCTCATTTTGTTGAACAACATAAAAAACTGGATGGTACCATCAGTATTCTGTGCTTAACTTTTCGCGTAATCTAATAAAAATTTACCCTAGGGATAAACTAAAGAAAATTATCAAAACGCTTCTGAAATTGTTGTGAAAAATATTAAGGCTCTTTTCATCAAAAACCTCACATCATCAAATATAATGAGTATCAAACGTCATGAAGATCTTACCCTCCCTTCAATCCCTTCACTTCCTCCATTTCCTTCGAAAATTCATCTTTCTGACCCAATTTTGGAGATCCCCCTAACCCTCCCTTCAATCCGTACCCCCCTCATGAAAATCCATCAAGAACTTCCATCATTAAAATCTCTTGGCCTCATTTCCGGAAACCCATCTTCTTCAATTCCCAAATCATGTTCCCCAACCTTTTCCCCACAAAATTTTCCTCAATCACATCCTCATCGCCAAGAATTTCGTTTCGTTCATCACCGTCAACATCAAGATAACTTTCGTCCGTATCACTACAATCGTTTTCGACTTTCATCAAACAATCCTGACGTTTCCTCCTCAACAAAAGTAAATAAAAAATCTAAAAAAACTGCATAAAACCTGTAAAGATATCAGTGGTTGAAAATGAAACAAATTATTTCATACAAATTCCAAAAAAAATTAATTATATATAAATTATATACATAGATTAACACAAAAAAAAATTGAACAAGAAAATATACATGTAATACTTACAATAAAAAAAACCAATGCGAAATTATTCATTAATAAATACTTTGCAAATCCCCCCCTGTCCTGGTTCATTTTGAAATAGGTTCGTTTGAAATTAAATTCATGTCGATAATAAGCATATCATTCAATGCTTAAAAGAAATTAAAATTTATGTCTTTATTTCATTTTATTACATGATAATTTCTTACCAAGCCTTTTACTTCAACAAAATTTTCTCGATTAAAACACAATCTTAATTGGTTGCAGAATCATTACTTCAAAAAAAAAAAAAAAAAAAAAAAAAATATTTTGTCAATTGTTAGCATGAAGACCTCAATATTATTATAAATTTCTCAAGTCGAAATGACAAGTTCTTGGTATATATCAACGTTTAAGCTTATAAAAACATACGAATTTTATTCTTTAAAAAAGATACAACAAAATTTCTTATTTGCCATTTTCTTAAAACAAGACGTAAAAACATAGGCTCTATTTATGTGACTTATAATTGTGCGATAAAGTTTCTTACATATTTTCTTAAAAGAACCAGCATAAAGAAAGATAATACGGGCATAAAAATAAAATGGGTTACATATTGATGATTTAAGCATAGATAGTGAGTCGCGATCACAGGACGTATTTATGATCAAGGATTCAAAAGAGAAGCAATAGAAATTCGGGAAGTAACATCTAGAACGATAGAAGGAGGATCGACGGTGTCACTTGCAGTTTTGGCGGTCTTTTTTGCAGCCCTTGCAGCTCTGTAGTAGCGTTTTTTTCTATTATACCAAACATTTCTAATCCTTTTAATTGGGTGAAGATGGCCGTACTTCATTCGCAAATCATTCCTTAACTCTTTCCAACACACTTTATCACGTATTGCGGTCGATTTGTTATAATATGGAGCCATATTGATAATAAATCGTTTTTCATCAATGGTTAAGAAATTTCTGTAGGATACTATCCAATGTAAAAGAAAATTCATCAATATATTTTCTTTATAATAAAAAAAAGAAAAGATGTATTACTCACTCACATTCAGGGTCAAGATAATCATTCCAACTTAAATTATTAGATGTTATTAGATAAAAAATAAAATAAATTAATAAATTAAATTATGACTAAATTAAACTTACTGGTTTGAGAGTTGTTCAGGCGTGTAGTCTGACATTTCTTTACTAACCATCTGAAATCGTTTAGGACCATCTTCCAATTTGCTCATTAACTGTAGAAAGCGATCATTGTCCTACATAGTAGTAATTTAGTAAATTGGTTTTAAATTAATAATTAATTAATGTTTCATTAACATACGTCTTCACTAAAAGTAGTCATCTTGTGTGTAAAGTTCAAGTATATATATCAAATATATAAAGATGTAAAATATAGCAATGAAAACTTTTTTTTTGGAAGGAATTCGAAGGGTATTTATTAACTTTGGTATCCTAGTTCACTATTTTTGGAACAGTTCTTCTTAACCGGAGATCCGATGGTTCAGCCAAGGAGGAATTTTTTTTAAGCATAAAAGATAAAAAAAAAATTTATTCTTTATATTATATTAGTACTTTGTATATAAAAAAAAAAAAAAAATCGATTTCCAATGAATGATTGTGTAAGATTTGCCAATAACAGAAAATGGAAATGACCATCAAGTTTGTTTCATCTTCGTTACAAATAATGTTCTACCATATTATTGATCCAAAACGATGTTTATTATTTTAGTTAGATTATTTCATTTAATACTCTAAGGTTTCCAATTGTAAATCATAAATATTTAATATTTTATCATGTAAAATACTATGAACTTGTTCGTAATATGTTAAAACTTACTTGAAAGATCTAGAACAATGATTTAAGAGAGTCCCGGACATTAGTCAATTCATGTGGCCTCCTAAATATCTTTGGATTTCAAAACAACTCTATCGGCATATTTCGCTTATTAGACTATACTCGTGAGTTTTGAGTTTTGTCAGCAAATTTGTACTTGTATAAATTTATTTCATTTGTGAGAAGAGAAAGGTTGATTTCCAAAATAGCTAGAGAAATTCAAATTAATATTGTTGTCATGATCAAAGCAAAAATTGCATACCCTTTTACTCGTTATTTCGCAATAACCAAATTGCTTAAATTCTTTATCCTTCACACATGACTCATTTTTTTTTTTCCGATGTTGCACGAAGGTCATTTCTATTTTAACTTTCAAAATTTGGTCAAAAAATTTTTGTGATTAGTTAAAAAGCAAATTTCGGATTCTTTTAATTATTTTTATTATTTTATTTTATATCCATATATTATAAAAATTTTTTTGATAAAGTTATAAAATTTGACATAAAAACAATCTCATTTTGAAACTAAACTATATTGATTCAAATTTATTAATATTAAATATTTAAAGTTTTAGATTTACCGGCAATATAAAGGAAAGTTTACCAAGACAATCCTTATTTCAAATGAATTTGAACTTGACATGGATCATCTGGATTTAACAAATAATTTATCAAATGTTTTGGAATCTTTTATTGAACAGTTTTGAGAAAAGCATGGTTCAGAAGCTATAAAAAGATTTTATTTTGATGAACAGACAGATCCTTGGCAAGATTTGTTCATATTTCTATACACGACAACACCAAAAAATGACAAGATCGACTTTAGAAATTAAATTAAAGATGATCGATCAATTTATAGAATTTCAAAGACAAGGTCTTTATAGTTCTCATTTAAGGAATCTTTTGCGTTAATATAATTAAATGTATGAACGCACAACTGAAATCAGTCCTTATACTTCTAGGCACGTGATTGACAAATCCTAGTTTTTATTATAATTGGAATTCGCGGCTACTGAAATTAAAGAAATGTAGCGAGACAATTTGATGTTCTGTCTGGCCATCGTTTGTATAGACGAATCTCATATGCTTCTTGCAACCAATAAATAAAAACAAAGATCAAGTTATGATATCTCAGATATTGACAAATCATTTAAATGTAATAAATCACGTGAGTATCTAAGATTATAATTAGTTTAAATACCTCCGCGGCGTTTACTTAATGCAAGTTTGGAGATTACGTAAATGTACTTTTTATCTCATTGTTCTAAGATCTTAAAACCTGCTTCAAACCCTCCCTACCCTGATGATTTGCTGATCATTTTCCCTTACATACTTGGCTGTTGATCATTTTCACTTACATACTTGGCTGTTGATCATTTTACAGTTTTTCCTTGAATGTATGTATGCTTTATTCATAAAAAGTAGTCCATACTTGTATTGCTAACCGTAGTGTACTTGGCTGTGGATTTACATAAAGTTAAATTTAGAATTCTATTGTGGAATTGTGGCTAATTGTACTTCGCCCAATATAAAAATAAGCTTCTTCACAACACAGCCTTTAGCAGTTATTACTTCCTGCTGTTGTTACTGTATTAACTCTTTTCTTGCAAATAATAGAGCACTTGAGTTGCTTGTATTAAAAAAATTTCTTAATATTGTACCAAGAAGTTGATCGTTATGAAAATATTCTTGATCGCATTGAATTAAACTACAACGCTCACTTCAAAAAACTTATCTCCATCTCTTTCTTCAGCATTTTTGGATACTTACTCACGCCACTCCCTGTGAGAAAAAATTGCTTTGTTCAAAATTTACGCAATTCGATGCGAACTGACCAGAGAGAAACTTATTCAATAAGTTGGTCGTTCTGAAAATATTCTTGATTATTTACAATCCATTAATATTCGCTTTAAACCTAAACAACAACAACGCTCACTCTGACACCAAACTTATCTCCGCCTCTTTCTTCAGTATTTCGGATACTAACTCACGCTACTTTCCCTCCTCTTCCTGTGAGAAACTGAGTTTTCTATCAACCATTCCCTTTCGAACGCAAAACTATACCCAAGCACTTCCGTCAATAGAAAGAAATACTTATAATTCAAATACCCCCAAACTTCTTCCCAGTCTATTCCCCAGACTTTTCTTCGGAATATTCCCCAGCCATTTTCCCCCTAGATTCTCCAAATATATTTATTCCCAGACACTACCTCACGCTCTAACTACCATCATAATTTTCATCCATATTACAACCATCATCGTCGACCTCCCTTTCCCTGTTCGCCCCCTTAAACTAAATCTACACTATTTTGATTTCTGTTATAGGTAAGTTTTTTCAACAATATATTTTTTATTTTATTGTTAAAAAAATATAGTCATTTTTCAAAATATTTATTCATAACTTTCTTTAAAATCAAAACATTTTAGGTGGAATTATAAAACTTAACCCTCAGCTTTTTTTTATAAGAAAAAAGAGATTATATTAAAATCGAGTTACGAACAATATGTAAATCATATGATCCGTAACATGATAATATATTTTTTATTTTATAGTTAGAAAAACATTTATAACTTTTTTTACTCAACATTTTAGGTGAAATTATAAACTTTTCTCTTATTTTTTACTTTTTAATTAAAAATAAATAAATTTTATTTTTAATTAATTAAAAAAAAAAAACTTTTATAAGGAAAAAAGAGATTACATTTATATTTGGGTTAAATAAAAATTATTGATAAAATATTTCTGAATATTTGATAAAACAAATATGTTGTAGGTAAAGGTTTCAATAATATATTTTATTTATATTTTTAGAAAACATTATTATTTTTCAAGATATTTATTCATGACTTTCTTATTATCAAAATTTTAGATGGAATTATAAATTAAAGTTGTATATTTTTTCTTATAATAGTTTATATGATAAATAGTAAAACTGAAAAAAAGTTATTTGAAGTAAATAAAGTAAGAAGATTGGATAATATTAATAGAATTGAAATAGTATATATTATTAATTTTTATATAATTATCTATAAATATCTTTACTATTTTTATTATTTATATTAGTTAGCTATAGCAAAATAGGATTTTTACAAATATATTATATATAAATAGGATTTGAATTTGTCTTAAAAAAGACATATATTATAAGAATATATAGGCATTTTATAAAAAAAGAAGGAAATTTAAAAAATTTATTTTTTGAATTAATGTTAAATCTGAACTTATTTACTAAAAAAAATATATTAGTTTATAAAGTAAAAAATCTTTTTTTGGTAGTTTTTTGCAAAATCTTTATATATAAAAATAAAATAATACTTTACAGTGGTGAGCAAAAGAAACGCAACCACTATTTTTTTAGATTTAAATGCTTATAAATCATTAATTATAAATGCTAAAATAGTAA